TCTGGTCTGATGCGATTTTGTTACAATTTACTTTAGGCTCGCAAATTGCTTGCGAACAAGAAAATGGAGCAAAGCTGAAAGGGAGAGAGTAGAATGCGAATTGCACATTTTCACTTTGTTCTATTTTTATTTTCGTTGCAGCCGCAAAAGGAGCGATACTCGACTCCAGATGTTATCTGGAGGGAGGTGGTTCGGCGGAGAGTTTCCTAGCTACTGAAGATCTGGCGGTGGGCTCCATAATTGGTAAATTGCGCATAAATGGCGATCCCAACGCCGACACTGGTGACATCAATCTGTCGCTAAGAGAGAAGAATGCTCCCGTGGAGATTGTGGCGGGCACCAAAGATTTGGCTTTATCCGTAGAGCTGGACAAGGAGGGTCTGAAAGGACCCTCGTCGATCTATGTTAATGTCATATGTATACGAAGACGCTCAACGGATCCGGTAAGTTGGATCAGCAACAGTTACTCAAGATACGTATAGACTTGAAAAATCATACTCTTCTGGTTAGAATTTCCCAGATCTTAATGCATTTGACACCTTAAATCTACATGTTTTAAATTGTTTTATTGTAAATATCCCAACATATTAATTGTATCTATTCGACGGCTACTAAGAGCAGAAGCAATAATAACAGAAATAAAATGAAAAATAGATAAAGAAATGGAGAGAATGCAAAAGAAAAATAGTATAGGCAAAGATAAAGTTTATTAGATTGTTAACACACACACACATTTAAAAGCCGCAAGTCTTACTTGAATTCATGAGAATCGCATAGTAAGGCGATATCGAGAATTACGTTATATTTTGTTTGCTGCGCAGCGGGGGAAGTTATCAAAAATGTTAATAAAATTTAGGCTTAAATTAAATTTTGTTTGCTGCGCAGCGGGGGAAGTTATCAAAAATGTTAATAAAATTTAGGCTTCGTTTGGTATAAGGGAACGTACGGATATATACGTACTTACAGGAACATTTATGTACTGGATATAGAAAAATATGAAATAAGCTCTTGACCTGCTCCCCATGCCCAACATTAGGAAACATACGTAGATTGTATACCCCGAACTTTGAACGATTATTATATATTTGGAAGATACTATTTTACATATCCATGAAATCAAAATAACCATGCTCAAATCGTTTATTAAAACATAAACATAACAAGTAATATTTAAATCAAGGAAATTTTTCGATCTTAGGTATAGATTATTTATTTTTAGGATAAGAGGGTGTCCCACAGCCAATGCTTCGTTAGATCCAAAAAAATTTACGAAAGGTTTCGTTCAATCAAACCTAGTGACCATTTTAATTAGCCCCAACCAAAGGTTGGCTTCGGGTGCTCTCCGGCTGTTCTTGGAATCAACTTCTTAGCCGCATTCAGCACCTGCAGAACTTTCGTTCGTGCGGTGCACTCGACCAATTCGTAATGGCCAACCAATTAACCTATATCGAAGCCGGCTCCTCCACTTTTTCCCCCCTCTGGACGTTGGGTGTGCGTGTGCTGTGAGACGCCGCAGAAGGGGCGTAATCTCGAAGTACAAGTACAAGTGAGGTTGTTAAATGAAATTGGGTAAACACAATTCGGAATGTTCACACTCGCATATAGCCATATTACGGGAACCATGGGGGGGGGGGGGGGGGGGGTGCTGGCGTTGGGTAGGTATATACAAAAGTTGCGGCTATTTCTTGTACTCTATAAACAATTGAAAACTTTTTAGACAACGACGCCTATTTCAATTTTGAGAATCAACAAAACAGAAACCAACTTAACTTTTACTTGCACTTCGTGCTGACGAGGACGTCGGACGACGGGCGAGGACGACGTCTGGGCCCAGGCAGTGGCCATAAATTAGCCATTAGTACTTCCGGAGTTCTTTGGGGGTTGCTTCGAGAGCTCTAAACATGCAAATATATGCAGTGTTTTATGGGCGGGCAATGTAAAGGGGAGCACCGGAATCCTTGGTCCTTAGCTGTTGGCGCTTTGAACTCGCCTTGGGGGTCACTGACCAGCACTTGCCTATTGTTTGCCTCTGAAGGTGTTTATCTTTGCCTCGGCCCCAGCTCTCAATCAAATCGCTGGCTTTGTTCTTTGTTGCAGAGCTTCGTTGTTCCCGTCAATGTTCGTGTCACGGACGTCAATGATAATGCACCACAATGGATTGGCACACCCTACACGCTGACCCTATCCGAGGTGACGGTGCCGGGCACACGCATACTGCAGGGCGCCCGTGCCGAGGATGCCGATCAGCCGGGACCGTTCTCTACGGTGGAGTATCAGGTTCTGCCCGGTCCATATGCGGAGCTGGTGCAGTTTCTCAATCCTCTCGAGGGCACACTGGTGCTGAAAAAGGCACTAGACTATGAGCAGCTGCAAAATTTCACAGTTAAGTTGCGTGCCCAGGATCAGGGCACACCACCACGACATTCGGATACACTGCTGCGCGTGGTCATCACCGATGCGGATGATCAGAATCCGAAGTTTCTGCGTGAATCCTATAGCGCTGAGCTGCCCGCCGATGGTCGCGCCGGCGAGCTGCGCATGCGCCCCGAACCACTGAAAGCCATCGATCAGGACGAGGGCATCTGTGCGCCCATTCAGTACAACATTGTGCAATCGCAGGACGCGAAATACTTTCGCGTACATCCGCACAACGGCATCATCACGCTGCTCGCGCCCATTGGCTATGCAGATCTTACGCACGGCGCCACTCTGGTGGTGAAGGCCACCCAGATAGACAATCCGGATCGGTACGCTTTGACCACAGTGCAGCTAACCCGGCCCGGCACACACAGCGATCTGAGCACACTCGCCTTTGTCCAGAAGCGTTTTGTGATGCGCATACGCGAGGACACGGCCGTGGGTAATCGCATCCTGGCACTGCCCACCAACAAACCTGGGAAACATCTGAAGTACACCATTGCCGATCCAATCAATTCGCAGTTCTTTAGCGTCGGCTCCCTGGGTGAACTGGTGCTGGCCAAGCCACTGGACTATGAAAAGATGACCAAACATGAGTTCCAGGTCATAGCCAGCGATGGCCTGACCAACAGCACCTCCGCTGATGTCACACTGGAAGTGATTGATGTCAACGACTGGGAACCGCGCTTCCGGGAGACACACTACGAGTTCATGGTGCCCAAAAGCGTAAGTTAGAGATCTAAGTGATGCACTTTAACAATTTAACATTCAATTTCAATTTTCGATTCCAGCAGTCGCTGCAGTCACGCACAGACTCCTTTGAGGGCGTACTAATTGGCAAGGTGGAGGCGGCAGACGGAGATCGCAATGACAAACTGGAGCTATCGCTTCGTGGGCAGCATGCGGGTCTCTTCGAGATCGATGCGACGGGCAACATTTATATGCGCCCGGAGCAGCTGCAAAGTCTCAACGAGTCCACGGTCCATCTGATTGCCATTGCCACGGATTCGGGTGTACCGCCGAGAAGCACCTCGGTGCCTGTGAGCGTTACCATGGAGGGACTTACTCTCGCCCACTCGGCCTGGAACAACAGCATGCTGGGCATGTTTGGAATGATTGTCGGCCTGTTTCTGTTGATCATCATGGCACTCAGTTGCTATATTGTGCGCTCTAAGAAGCAGCGCAAGCGCAGCCCGGGCGGCCTGAGCCTGGGACGCAATCGTGTGCATAGCCAAGCGCACAGTAGCGTCTCCTCGGCGAATCTAGTGACGCACGAAAAGCTGGCGGGCAACGGCAATGGCGCCAGCGTCACCAGCGGTGGTGTCTCCGTGCTGCATATGAAGCATCCCAGCAACAGCATCACAATGGCAAATCCAATCAACAACGGGCTGCATCATGTGGCCAGCGGCGCCAGCAGCAGCATGGCGCTCAGTAGTGCCAGCAACTTGTTGGAGCGGGAGCGCGAACGGGAGCGGGAGCGACAACGGGAAAGCTACGCGGCAACGGTGCGCAGTAAGTTGTGTCTAATTATCACCCCGTTATCCCCAGAAGCCCAGGGCATTCACTATAAATAGTCTTCTTACCAGGCATCGTATCGCGCGCCTCTGCCAACGGACAGCTCTACGAGGAGGACGAAATCGAGCACGACTCCCTCTCGCAGCAGGGCCAACAGCTGCAGCAGCAGCAACAGCAGACGACGCCGGAGAACAATAATCGCAAGACGTTGGCTGCTGTTGCAGGCGGCGTGACAACCATCTCAACGACGGCCAATGGCAGTGCAGCCGGAGTTGGTTCCAACCTTATGGCCGCCTCCGATACGATGGGCTCATCCGAAAACAATTTGACAGTCTACTTCTAGGACAGCTCAACGCTGTTCTCAACTTGTAAATATTGCTGGCCTAGCAGCTTAATATTAATTCACTAGGTCTAAGTCTAAGTCGCGTTTAGGTTCTAGGCCCAATGTAAATGTAGTAGACCAAATATAGCATTGTAAACATCCAGCACTTGTAGTCTAAGCAAGCGAATTCCACTGTACAATTTTGCTTCCCACTTTTTACGATACTTTAACGACAAGCTTAAGAATAAACTCTATTGAACTAATCGGTAACTGGGCAGAGTTATTCATTGTAAAAGGTGAATGGTGGTTTTGTTAACAGATTTAAGATTAGGCTTGATATCGCCTTTGGGCTTTACTTTGGTGAAGCCCGAGCTTATTCTACGCTGCGAAGAAAAGAATGTCTGGAAGCTCTAGCCCTTTGTTCTTGGACGCTGAACTTTTCCTCGTATTCGAATCTTTTGCAGAAATGTCTATAGGTGTCTGAGATGGCTAACAAGTTCGATTTTTTCTGAGTTACCATTGTTTAGGAACAAACGCTGAAATATGCTTGGAATCAGGCCAATCGTATTAACATATCTGTATATTATATTATAATAAAGTTATACATTATTGCTTTCATTTAATCTTAGAGTAATCGAATTGATATTTAAAATAGTTGCGGTTTTATCATCGTCGCAACTGACTATAAAATCCCAACACAACCTCACAGCACCTGAACAACTTCTTAATTGCATGTATTAATCCATACCTTAAAAATCTCATTGCTTTTATTTTCGTTGATCTTAAACTCTAGTTCGATTCAGCATAATGTTTACAGCTTTGGCTTGATTAAAATAGAAAAACGAATAATGGGCAAATTTAGTTAAACAATTCGGTGATGAACTTACAAACTAAAATCAGGTAATTTTAAAAGACTTTTTCACTTGCATCAAATACAAAACAGGAAACAGAAAGGAACACAACCAATACTTATTTGGGTTTTATAAATTAAATATTAATTTCTTTAATTACAGCTGCATTTAAAAATTGCTTTGGATTGCATGGTCATGGGTTGGCCTCGTGTTACTCCTGCTTCTAGCTACCATTGCGCGACTTTTTGCGCTTAAGTAGATTGAAATCGCCGTATTTTATGTGATTGTCGGTGACGAATGGCACATAGAAGGCGCGTAGCACTTTGTGTGATTTTTCCGGTATGAGGAAGGGCAGAGTCTTCATAATGGACCAGTCCTTTGTGCGTCTGGAATAGCTCGGCTCCAGTGTTGTATATTTGCCCTCATCAAAGTCCATTAGAAAATGACACTGGTCGTAATCGAAGTACATGTGCTCGTTCTCCAAATTCTGGTCATTAAAATACGGATTGACCACCTTGGTGGCATTCGGGCCGTTCACATAGTAGGCAGGCAACATGCCTTGGAATTCGGATTTGAGGAAACGCAAACGGAAATTGCGAGCTGGGAAAAAGAAGCTGCCCGGATACCGATACCAGTCCTTGCCAACGCATACATTATAAATTTCATCTGCACGATATTGTGGCGTTGTCTTAAACTGGTTGAGCTCCAGCATCAGATCCATTGGCGCATGATAGTTGCGATAAAGCGCAAAGACGCGCGAAAGGCCCAGCAAAGTGCTGGTCACCATTACGATAATGGCAATGAACATGCTGTGATCCAAATAGTGAATTCCCGACTTGATTTTAAAGATAAGCGACTTGATGCGGAAATAGATGCGCTGATAAACGTCTACTGTAATGGCGCCGCACAATGAGATCAGCGGATATACCGGAAACAGAAAGCGCTCCTCCTTATGCGGCTGTGCAAAGAACACCAACAACCAAAGATAGAGGGGCGCCAGTGATATATAGCGCGGAAAATTAAGCGTCGACTTGAATTTGGCGGGAACAATTAGATAGTCCATGACCAGCATTATGGGCAGTTGCAGGGCCAACAGCTAAAAATATGATAACAATTAGGAATGGTCCATAGTTTTAGTATACCCAGTAACATACCCAAATAATATTAAAATTCAGGAAACCATTGACGATGTAGTAGCTCAGAGGTTCGGTGCCAAAGATATTGGGCCCGTGGCTAGTGAACACATTATACCAGACAATGTTGAGCGGCGCAAAAGTCAGTTTGCCAAAGTAACTTGTATCAATGGCAATCATGGGCAGTGCAATGGTTGCGCCGGATATCAACGTCCACTGTACAAAAGTACGCCAGTCGCGCTGGCGTAGCAGCAGCTCCAACACCAGCGGTACACCAATTAACGCCGCAAATGGCCAGCCCAGCAGCGCCGAAATGGCCGTAAAAAAGATGGCCAAACTATAGCGTTGCTGCCACCAGGCGGCCAAAGCAGAGCAGCCAAAATACATGGAGAACGAGGAGGGCAACAGTGCGGTGCTGGATACAAACATGCCCACGCTAAACAGCTGGAAAATAAGCCACAGACGTCCAACATGTATGCCAAACTCCTGGCATATGGATCTGCAAGACAAGCCAGCTATCGAATTACGATCGCTTAAAGTTGACCAGGTGTACTCACTTGTACATGAAGCGCTCCATGACCGCACAGCCAAAGCCCAACATGCATCGTACCATGTAGAAGATGAGAATGGGACTCGGATTAAACAGCTTTTGATAGATCCAACCGGGCACACCTTGCAGGAGTAGATATGTATAGGAGCGTAACCCAAATTGCGGACTATACTCCCAGGTCTGCAAACCATGTCCATTAATTATGTAATGCAACGGTTCCCAGTAGTTGAAAGTCTCATCACAGTCAGAAATGTACGCCCAAATGGCGCTGCAAAGGCGCGCGCTCACGAATGTCTTGAAGGCAGTGTGGACGCTGGGCATAATGGGATTGGGGCTAGACTGTGTCTTTTCCGCGGAGTTCGCAGCGGACGTCGATTGTTTGCTAAAAAAAAAAATATGCATAGTTAATGTTATTGGTATTTTATTATGCGACAGTGTACGTACTTCTTCTTCTTCTCTTTTTTGTTGCCGGCTACGATGTCGCCGGCAATGTCTTTGTTGCCATTTAATCGTTTCGGTGGTTTCTTGGTGAGTATCTGGTTGTCAGCCTTATTGGCATTGTAACGCGCCCGTGCTGCAGGCGGTGCCATTTTCTAGTCCGATGTTTTTAAAGTTTTTTTCCACACAATTTACCGCAGTAATAAGCCAGCGTGTGAAACTTGCAACAGCTGATGCAGTGCTGTATAATAAATCGAGTTGGCAGCCATGCATTTTTTATGAAATTAAATTAAGAGATGGACATAATGATTAGATCTGATAAGCAATAAAAAAGAAAACATTTAAGTTCACTAGTTGACCTTCGCTAGCTTATGCCATTAATACCAAAAGATGACAAGCAAATATATAATTTTTTCTAGCAACCCCTAGAAATGTAACATATGACGTCACGCATTCAACGCAGTTGCAGTCGCGAGTTTCTCTGCGCAACCTTGTCATATTGTGCAATCATGCTGGCGTTTTAATTTTGTACCATGGTGGCAGCTCTGTCGCCTCAGCTGTGCAATTTACATTTTGCAATTGCATATTTTACGTGCGGTTGCATTAATAAATTTTAAACAAAAACATGTCTAAGGATGACAAGGACAAAGTGCAAATCATCGACAAGGACTTGGATCTATCCAATGCCGGACGTGGCGTTTGGTTAGTCAAAGTACCCAAATACATTGCACAGAAATGGGAAAAGGCGCCATCAAATATGGATGTTGGTAAGCTGCGTATCAGCAAGACGCCTGGCCAGAAGGCGCAGGTCTCACTTTCACTGACGCCTGCTGTGCTCGCACTGGATCCGGATGAGAAGATACCCACAGAGCATGTGCTTGACGTGTCACAGGTGACGAAACAGACACTTGGCGTTTTCTCCCACATGGCACCCACAGAGGCGGCGGCCGTCGCCAGCAACGGTAAGGAAAATGGGACAGGTGCCGCTTCAGCGACGCCAGATAGTGAAAAGCTGTACATGGAAGGTCGCATCGTCCAAAAGCTCGAATGCCGTCCCATTGCCGACACTTGTTACATGAAGTTGAAGCTCGAGTCTATACGCAAGGCATCGGAGCCACAACGTCGAGTGCAGCCGATCGACAAGATCGTACAGAACTACAAGCCAGTGAAGGATCATGCACATAATGTAAGATTAACTGCGCTTGTTTTTGGTGTTTGTTTAAAATTTCTCATATTTTTAGATTGAGTATCGGGAACGTAAGAAGGCGGAAGGCAAGAAAGCACGCGACGACAAGAATGCTGTGATGGATATGCTTTTCCATGCCTTTGAAAAGCATCAGTACTATAATATTAAGGATCTGGTCAAAATAACCAATCAGCCAATTAGCTACCTGAAGGAGATACTTAAGGATGTCTGCGACTACAACATGAAAAATCCGCACAAAAACATGTGGGAACTCAAGAAAGAATATCGCCACTACAAGACTGACGAACAAAAGGACGAGGAAAAGGCCAAATCGGACGGCAGCGATACTGAATAGTCGTAGGATCTTGATTTTATTACCTGTATATACACATATGTATGTACAATTTTCCAATGTAATCACTTACTCTCATCTAAGCAAAAAGTAAATCCAGCAGATTTTCTGCACAATTTTATCACAATTCTCGAAATATTAAAATATTCATTACCCGATTTTCCAGTAATTTTCAACAACTATTTTTTAGTTTCTTTGACTTTTTCATTGCATTTAGATGCTTTCTTAGATAACTAAAAAAAAAAATTATCTTTGTTTTGCACATTCATATGTATGTAATATATATGTAAATAGATAAACCGTCTTTAAAAGTTGGAAAAAAAATTTTTACACACTAGGAGATCAGGTACTTGATTTTTGTAGTACTATCAGCTCTATACGATTTCCACAATATGTGTCTCTGGGTGATCTTGATTTCATTATTATTTTAACGACTTGCGTTTCTGAAAGAGTTTTTAATTTGAGAAAAATGAATAAATGGCAAAATAAAAATCATAAATGAAGAAATTTTTGAAAAACTATAAAAAAAAAAATAGAAAACAAAAGATAAATGCAAAAAAAGTGAAAAATAAATTTAAAATGAAAATAAAATGTAAAGAATATTAGAAAGAAAAGAAAAAAAAATGACAAAAGAATTGAAAATGATAAGAAAAATGAAATTTGAAAAACTTGTTCAAACGTAAGGAAATCGAGCTTAAATAATACTGGTTCAATTTTGGCTTACACTACATAACATAAAGAACTAAAAACTGGCAGCATAAAGTTGAATAAAACTAAAAATTGCATCTCATGTTAAAAGCTCTCTTAAAACTAGAATTTGTACATTGTCAAAAAAAAAAAAAACAAAAAAAAAAGGATTGTGCATTAATGCATTTGTCAGTTGCGCGGCCAGCGCAGCCTCTTAATTTTGACGTAAGCCTGTGAAAAGGGCAGCCCCCGGTGCAATATGATCGGCTGCAAGGAATAATTCTCATTAGATTAAATTTTAAATTCGCATAACACACACACAAAAATATATACAATCTAAGGTTACTGGACGAGAATCGAATTGTACACACATATATACGAACGTCAACCCTGCGACTTAACCATCTATTTACATAAAACTAAAGACAGAGGCACACATTTAGCACTAGGCACCAACAACTGCTACGGCCTCCGCTACATGTCAGCCGGCCACACAGACATTAAGGATGCCGGCAGCGATGATATGCCAGAGTCAGCATCCTCTGGCCGTGCGCTTGCCTTGGGCACAGGTTTTATAAGGCGCACTGTTTTTACATTAATTGCATCAAGTGTGTGACGTTGCTCCTGCACCTTGCGATGCGTGGCTTTAGCAGATTGCGTTGTTTCTTGTGGTGCTGTTTGGTTGCTCCGCCGATTGGAACTGTTCATATTGCCAATGTCATCCTCGGGATTCACTTGTTTCCTTTCGGTGCTAATCAATTTCATCTTAAACCGATTCATATCAATTGGCTTGCTCTTATCATGCTTATCGATTTGAAGCTCCACGTTTCTCTGGTTTGTCTGCAAGGCAAAGTAATATTAAGTTGTACACATTGCTGGAATATCATTGATGCACTTACCAGCAGTAGTGAGGAGAGCATATAGCAACATAGTTTGGTTGGATCCTTATCCTCTACAACATCGGCTAGTGTTGCCTCTCCTCTCTCATTTTCTTGGCATTTGGCTATAATCTCGTCATTTAGGTGCTGTATGCTAAAGTTTTGACGCGCATGCGCCGCTTCTAATGTGGGTGCCAGTCGACGATGCCAGTCAATAATCTGCAAAGCACAAAAAATAATTACAATTTTAATATAAACGATATAAATGTCGCCGTGTTTGGCACTCTACGACTCTAGTGCTAAACGAAAACCCCTAATTTTGAACACATTAGATGTACGTAGTGTATAGAGAAAGTATTCGACGTGGCTAGGATCACTCGGCCTAATAATTTCCCGACTAACTTCTAGTTGCATGACGTGTTTTAGCTATACAATATCGACTTTTGGCTTACGCCTTGCAGTTGTTGGAATATGCTTTTTAACCGTATCCACTAGTGCCTCAAATGGCATACTCAACGAAGTTTCTCGATCTAATCTTACTCTTAACTTGTTTCTACCATCAAAACGGGTTAAAAACCACATTTCTTACCTTGGCATCAGTTTCTGCATCTATGCTATTACAGTTGTCTTGAACACTCGAATCGCTTTCCTCTGCATCCCAGTCTGGGTCCAACTCTATGTCGTTTGTGGCCAAATCCATAGGCGTTGCATTCAATTCACTCTCTAGTCGTGTTGTGTTCTCTGCTGTGGTATCGGGGACTCTTATGTCCTCTTCGGTGATATCCTGGGCTCTTATGCCATCTGCTTGTGTATGTTGTACATCATTTGGTTGCGTTTCATTTAATTCTGTAGCGCCCAATGAAATTTCAGGCAATGTCAAGTCCTTCTCTGTTTGCCCAGAAGCTCTAGCTTCTTGAATTACATCTGACAGCGGCGGATTTTCTACTGCATTCAAATCCGATGGTTCTTCGGAGCCCACGTCAACGATAATGCCGTCATCTGCTGGCGAGTTGGCCAATCTAATCTCTTCCTGATCAATACCTGAATCATAAGTAGGACGCCTGAAACCGCGAAAATCTGTGAAATAAAAAAATCATAAGTTAGGCAGCTGCATTAACTGTATTCTATTATTTTCACATACTTAGCTCCGAATCAAATTCCATTTGATCCAATGGCAATGCCGGAAATTTGTCAAGCGACGATACGGAATGCGTAGGCGAAGCAACAGGCGATGCGCCAGGCAAGGCTCTGGGAGCACCGGGCGCCTTGGGTTCAGCCTGTCGCTTGGCTGGTGTGCGCTATAACATAATTAAAGGGTATTTACATTTTTGTTTAAAGGAAAGTACTTGTCGGCGGGTATGCTTACCGCTTTTTTAAATAAATCAAATTCTTTGGGTAGCTTGAAGAGAGAACCTTTGCGTAGCCTCTTTTCTGGTAGCTGCAGCAAATTCCGCTCGATTGAATAGTGCACTTCACGTGGCACATTAACAATCTCCTCGAGCGTTTCATTGATGCCGCTCAGGGCCAGCATTTCGGCGTCAACGCGCACGCTCAGGTTGGCTTTGTCGGGCACACCGGGAAGTATGTCCCGTACCATTACCTTGGGCGATAGCGACTGCAGACGCTGCTCGTCTATAAGATCTGTAAGAACAACACCCTCATCATCAAAAGATTGAGCTGCACAATATTTGGATGCAGGCAGCAGCACAGCAAACGAAATACATACGTAAATAAAATAAAAAGTAAACAAAGAATGTGAGTCAAATCTGTCTACAAAGAAAGGATTAACAAAAATCTTAGCCTGATCTGTTGGTGCAACACGAGTCTACATAAACAGAGTGCATTTTAGTTTACCTGTCGGCAGCGTATCGCACACATCATCCATGCCAATGCCTGAATCAATTTGCAACGATTGCTCATTGCTATCATCACCCTTGCCAGTGGAGAGTTCCAATTGCGATTCCAGTTGGGACTTCTGTTGTGAATCCTGCTGCGTCTGAGACTCCTGTTGCGACTCTTCCTTTACAGATTCTAACTGCTGGAGATCCAAACGCGTGCTGTCCAAGCAGCTAGCGTCATTCATTTCCAACGTGCTGCTTAAGGGCGGTGCTTCTATCTGGCTTCCATTAAGTTGTACTTCTGATGTATCTGTCAGCGTCAAAGTTCTCAGCGATTCTCCTAGTACTGAGTCCATAGAGGTTTGCGATCGCTGAGCTCCACTTTCGTCAGTCTGCAGATTCCTATCACGATTATCGTCCATCTCCTCAGTTAGCCTTCTACGTTTTGAGCTCTCATCAGTGAATTCCAGCAATCGTTTCTGCAGTTCCAGGCGCAGACGCTTGGCCTGTTCATCCTCTTCGACAGTCAGGGTGCGTTTCAGCACTGTTTTTTCCCCATAGCGAGAGGCAAGCATTTGGTTCTCTAGCGCTATGTACTCGTCTAAATATTCCTTATTACTCATGTTCTTATTTAGAGTTTCGGATACATCCACTTGATTTGAATGCACGTATTCCTTGATCAAATTCAGACGATCAAATTGAATGTCTGGCAGAAGCGTATTGTATCTGGGCTCCGGATGGTATGTAAACACCTTATAGTTCTTTTTCTCATCCTGCTCGTAGGGATTCGCTGGATCCACGATAGACGCATGCGTCCAAAGATGGGACGGCGTATGATCCTGATACATGTGTTCAATTGTACGATTTCTGTTTTTATTCGTTTCGAATCCAACGCGACTGAAGCGTTTCTCATCGGACATTATTTTGAACTTTTTTGGTTCCATGTTATACGAAAACGGATCGAATTCCTTTTGGGTGAGTTTCTTAATGCGACGCTTACGCGGCTCCTCCGGCTTGCTAGCATCTTTTTTTCTAAAAAAAAAAGCGTAAGAAAGTTTTTATATTATTTTAATGATCGGCTTCAGGATAATAAACATTATTTCATACTTTCTAAAATTTAAATATTTCTATGTAAAACATTAAGAAACAGATTTTTCTGACTCACACTTTTAAATATCGTTTTCTTAGTCTTTAAAATAAATAATAAAATATATATAAATAATATATATTTTATCATATTCATTTTATCTAAAGCATTGGAGCATGTGGATGGCTCAGCCGACTGTGCAAAAGGAAGTGGAACCGGCGAATGTGAAGAGAATGACAGATGAGCCGATAAGCGACCACATGATAAGAAATTGAAGCAGACAGCATGGCGACAGAGCTTGTTATTCTAACTGAATGACTAACCACATGGCAGCCGCGGTGCGACTGGAGTTTTACTCACCGATTGCTGGTCTCATCCTTTTTGGGATCAGCTATGAGCAGCGCCTCGATCTGATGCTCCACAACCTGGTACATGAGCTCCACCCTGTCACCATAGATTTTGCTGCAGTATTGAAGCACGCTGCCGGCGGCGGCAATAACCGAGCGTCGCGGCACACTCGCACCGGATACTTGCCGCAAAAATTCATCCATGTACTAAAGGAAGCGAGAGTCCATAATAAAAAGAACAAATAATTTTAGTTAATTTTAAAGGACATTTTGGGTATCACTTACATAGGAAAGCGACAAGCGCAGATCGGTTGAAAAATCTGTATTTTTCGATACCTCCTCCAGGAGCAGAAGCAGCGTTGAGAAGCCAGGAAACTCATGGTACGCAACGATTGCCTTGGCCACATTGGTGCCCGGCCTGCTGTTGGCGATTTCCAGTAGGTTTTTTATTACATCACTGGAACTGGATCTGTTGCTGCTGCTACTGGCCCATTCTGTAATCATACATCAATTTTTTGTTTAGTGTTTGGAGCGAAGCACATTTCGTTTATTTTTTAAGCGAGCTGTGTTCAAATTAAAATAGCGCTGACTTAATCACCGTAAAATGTGTGCCCGTCCCCGCTTGGCCACCGGCGATGAGAGCTGTCCATGGCGAGAGCAAAGAAGCAACTGACCAACTGAGCAGACTCAAAGCGATCATCATACATAACGCACTAACAACAACACGTGTATAGGCACACTCGCACCTATACATACACACATGCGACTATACACGAGCAGATAAATATCTGTGAAGCCTACACCAATGTATGTACATACATATGTATGTAATGCGTAGATGGCGCCACCAATGTAAATTTCTAGGGAACACTTACCTTCTTCTGTATCTGCATCCATTTTACTGTTTCTTTAACGACGTAACGTGAATCTTTAAACAAACAATCACAGTTTGTATATACTTCGCGAAACTGTGTGCATGTTTTGAGGAGTACATACATTCATACAAATAATACACATTGACATGGGGCACGCCAAGCGTCTGAGCAACAAAAATGGTGGCACCAAAATTGTTTACCTGCAGTTAAACACGGAAGCTAATATTAACACATGTGGAATACAACTTTTATTTATTATTTGGGAATTTTTAAATGGCGCGAACCGTGTTTTCTTCCCAATTAGCTCTGTATGCATTTATGTACTTACGATTTTGTTTTGCTCTCTCAATTTTAGGCGCAGAAATTTTCTCACAGGGCTGAAGTGGTATGTATCTGAAGCCGCACAAAAATGGAATGAACTAGTGAAGTACACGATAGGCCATAACGATAGTATTTTCGTGCCGAGCTGGTCACACTTGATTAAGAAATATAAATTTATCGCTTTAAAAAAAATCATTATTCAAATTCAAAACCAAAATCAGAAACCGCTGTTAGCATTCTGTACATACTAGTAAATACATAGCGAAACATTGTGTTTCGTGTTTTGTAGTTCCGATTCTCTTAAGTTGTTTGCCGCTTTTAAAATGCAACGTGTTATGATATAAAGACTTTTTGCTTGCCTGAAATTATTTGCAGACGCAGAGGGTTAAAGTGATTTATTAAACGACCAGAAAGGGAAAGTGCTCATACACATGCAGGCCAAATTCTCTTCTGTTTTGAAAGTGGCCAATATGCAAGTTGTCCATAAAACGCGCCGAATGATCGGAAAGCGTATCCGAGAACACCAAATTTACCCAATTATATTATGCGCACCGTAAGACCGAAACGCATTAATTATTTTCAGTTATTAGTTGTTCCAATTTACTTTAGCGTAGTTATTGACAACAAGCGCTCTAAAAAATAAAGCAAATTCAAACTGTCCTGACATTTTATGCCAGTAACGTTTTTAACTAGTTATCGATAGGTGTTTTGGATTTGGAGACGACTACAGAATTAAATCAACTCTGGCAATGTATCATTGTGTGTAGAATTTTTACTCAACTTGGCATTTGACAAGTCTCCACTTTCTTTTCGGTATCAAAAACTAAGCGCTCAACATGGGTCGTATGCACGCTCCAGGGTAAAATACACATTTCGATTGTTGTAATGAGCAAGAGTTCTTGTAAAATGTGCCTGCGTAATGCACGTAAGCCTTTGCAATATTTGTTGTACACTCCTAACGCGAAAAATGTACCAAAGAAAAAAAGGCCATGAAGGCAAGCACATGTTGCAAACGAAAACACTTGCCGCTCCTATTGTCCCTTGCAAGCGACTCAAACGATACTTTTTATTTACAGCAAGGGTATTTCCCAGTCCGCTCTACCGTACAGACGCACAGTGCCATCATGGCTGAAACTTAACGCCGAGGATGTCAAGGAGCAGATCAAGAAACTTGGCAAGAAGGGCCTGACACCCTCCAAAATTGGTATTTATTGTTTGTGTTTACGGTTTGAGGTTAGGTTAATTGAACTCTCGTCAACAATTTCAGGTATCATTTTGCGTGATTCTCATGGAGTGGCCCAAGTACGCTTTGTTAATGGCAACAAAATTCTGCGCATTATGAAGTCGGTTGGTCTCAAGCCCGACATTCCCGAGGATTTGTACCACATGATCAAGAAGGCAGTGGCCATCCGTAAGCATTTGGAGCGCAGTCGCAAGGATAAGGATGGCAAGTTCCGTTTGATTCTGGTTGAGTCCAGAATTCACCGCCTGGCGCGCTACTACAAAACAAAGAGCGTACTGCCACCGAACTGGAAATACGAATCCAGCACAGCATCCGCTCTGGTTGCTTAAATTGGCTACGCAATTCTTTTACGCAAACTAAATAAACACCAAAACAAACGAGTTTTGTTTACTTTTTAAACGGTTTTGAGCATTATAAAATCATGTTTATATTTGAGTTCTGCAATTTTATGCTGAATTTACGTTCTGCAGGTGTATTTTTTTTTGAGATATTTGAATGAGGCGGATTTTAATTTGTCCTCGCCTTTGACTGATAGTATTGACTATCTTGGTAAAAGTAAAGAAATTATAAATGTCCACAATTTATTTGTAACTAAATCGATCCGTTTAAGAATTAAGTCAACAATCAACATAATTCGTTTCAAAATTCGAAAAGAAAAGTGTGACCGGACTTACCGTTTTATTTTTGGTATATTTTAATACATAGCTGCGCATGTTTACAACAGATAATGAAATATTTTACTTGATTTAAATTATAATGGAGTCAGATGATATTGCAGCAATACATGTGGAAGCAATTGAAGTAATTTTAAATCATATACTATACGTTCGTGGTGTTTATCCTGCACAAATCTTTAAGAAACGTCGCGTTTACAACACGCCTGTCTTTATAGTCGCATTTCCGACTTTAAATTCTTACCTAGCTAATGTGCTAAGAACTGTGCAGCAATTGCTGCAGAATCCCGCGCAACAATTGAAGCTAGAAGTAATTATATATGGAAATGATCCGGAGCACATGGAAAGCTACTTGTTGGAAATGCAACCGGTTCAATCCGATCACCCGCAGGATCAATATTTAATAGAGTACGAACAACAACTAAGCGCTGCTCTTTACAAACTGGCGGACCGCGTAAAACATTTACCGAAACTAGGTCAAAATGCAAAATTTAAGGTGCATATTCATACAACACAAACGGCCTTTACACAGCTCAGCCATGATGCACAATACCAGGAGTTTCCCTGGCTGCAAGCAAGTGGCAATCCGCAGCAGTTGGAGCCGCGTAAATTTTCCCTGCTACCCCTGGCAACAGTTGACAAGGTGGGCTTGAAAATGGATGCGCATATATGTAGTTAGGTTTAAAAATTGTATATTAAGCATTACATTTTACATGAGACATATAAAAACTACTTTTTAGAGCAATCCTTGTCGTTTCAAATCCTCGAATGTCTTGCGATTGACCACATTGCCCAGGGAGTCCTCGAACTCCTCTTCCTGGTCGGCTACCCAGCGTTCGCTCTGCTTTTGTGACTTGAGTTTCTCCCACAACGTGATCGCATCTTCGATCTGTGTCACATTCGCAAAATGCGCCGTATTCGGTATGCCCAGGCATCTCATTCCGTGCGCGTGTCGCCACTCGGCAAAGTGACGCTGAAACGCCTTGGGACCCTTATAGGTGAAGTTGCCGCAAATTTCGCAGTTATAGCTGATATTCAATCCATGCAGCTTGTACAGCCAGTAGGGTATGGGTTTGCCGTCCCAGCCCAATGGCAAATTCTTGGGATTGAACGGAACATCATCCGCATCCGGATCATCGTCGTTATCTGACTCGCTAGCTTCAATGTCGCTGTCATCGCGCTCGCCCCCAGTTCGTGCCTGTTTACGCTGGACATTCTCCTTGGTTGCCGCACGTTGTTCGGAGAGCAGCTCGGCGTATTTATAGAGCAGCGCCTCCAACTGCGCGATTTCCTTATTTCGTTCATTCTCGCGCGTCTGTGCATTGGCGCTTTTTGTTGTTGGTTTCTTGGCCATTAGAGCCGGGTCCAAGGTACTCTTGCCTTTCGTGGTGAACAGACGTTGCGCCCGCTCCTCCAAAGTGCCGCCACACTTCAGGCCCAAGGCGACCAACCCGGACTTGAGACGATCCAAGCCCAAAGAGGCCAGCTCCTCCCAGCTTGAGAAAGCTGATAAATCTAAATGCGCGCCCGTATTTGCGAGCGCCGATTCGGTCTCCTTCAATGACCAGCCAGGGAATGCGCCTTGCAGCCATTGGCGCTGGAAATCGAGCTCAACCTTAACCAGCTCGCCCTCAAGGTCGAGCAGCGGTTGAATGCGCAGAATAAAGCTGTGTAGATAATTGTTAAGCGTCTCAATATACTTGCGGTACTCGCGATTTTTACGCTCACGTGGTATGTCAAAGACATGGTCGAAGGACATGAGGTACGAAATGTAGTCCAATTTTTCAACGCCGCGCAAATTTAAGTAAAGCTCATAACACTCGTTCAAATCCAAGTAGCGGCCGCCACCCTCCTCGTCGGTGAACTCAACCAGAGCGCCCATTTCATCGGGATTACTGTAGACCTTTATCATTTCTTCAAATTCAACGGAAAGCGGAACACTGACTTCGGCCGGATGAGATTTGTAGAACTGTTTAATCTGCTTCAAACGGGCATAGAATTCATTGAACTCATTTGGTCCAGATAGCGCCGCAATTTCAGCCTTTCGCTCATTGTCCTTGTCTTCGTACAGATCGCGCAGCTGTGTGGTGGCGTGGAGGTGCAGTTCCATTAAGTACTTTAGCCGGTGCTCACTGTGAATGCGCTCTTTTTCGCCGGGCTTCTTGGTTGCATGCTCATCGACCATAAGTTTGACTAGACGCTCGCGCTCTTCGTGATACCGACGCTGCTGCTCCAGTAGCGTCTCCATTATGCTGATTATTTAAAAGAATTGTTTATTTGCGAACGAAAAACAAATTTTCACAAAATAGCGTGTGTACATACGTACATTAGAGCTGTACTGTCAGTATCGATAATAGTGATGGTAGCTTCGAATACGAACGATCATCGATAGTACTTACTAGCAAACATCGATTAGAATATCAAGACTATTTTGCAGCCTTACTCGATACTATCGCCTTAAGTTTGATTCGCTTTTCGGCATTTAACAACACTGCGCATCACGAAGTAAAATCATATGATCGATTGGAGGTAGTGAAAATTTCAGACGACGGGCAGAAGGCACACACACTGCAAGTAAATTTTCAATTCCGTTTTTGTCTCGTGTTATATGGAGTTTTATTTTGTAATTTTCCTTTCGTGTTGTATAATTAAGAAATTTATTATAAAGTTAAAACCATTACAGGCACGGTAGTACGTGAATTCCTTCGGAACTATTGAATTTCTATTTCGATTTTGTGGCAAGTGAGAAAAATCAGTCAAGATGGCTTTGAGCGATGCTGATGTACAAAAACAGGTAAATAACATGTGTATAACGAAAAACAATCTATTATGAAAGTATTTAGTTAAGTTAAACATGTTAAACAGAAATGTTTTTCTAATTGAACAATAATTTCAAAGCCACGGATTCGGGCAACGAGAAAGATGACGAAGTCATGGGATTCTCGCCGTAGTCATGTGAATTTTGCGTGCAACTTTTTCAGTCACTATACATTAAAATATTTAATCTGGGTTGACACAAAGTGTATTATGTGCATATAAGACAGCGACTATATAAGTTTTTGAGTAAATTAAAAATGCGTTTTGAATCTGTTGTTGGTGGAAAAAAATATTGTTCAAAGTTTTAGGCAAAAAACCAAAATGCTTATTGGTCATGTGACACGCACTACACTTGAGCAATGTGTTAAAGGGAGACGACTAGCGCAGCCAATACATTAGTGCGAACACTGTCACACGACTGCGCTGTAAATGAACTTGCCGTGCCTTATCAATGCCATTGGATAGTTTTTTTTTTCTGAAAATGAAATATATAAAATAAATGAATATTTACTTTTGGCCAACGTAACGGAGCGCCGGGCGACAGCTGGTAATGAAGTAGCTGAGCAGCAAATGTTTGAGCTACACAAATGTGATATATAGGTGCCTAATCATGTGATTGGCTTTAGGTCTGTTCTATCCATCACCCACTGTTTTATCTACACTTTAATAGATTTGTATTATCAAAGCTAATTTAATACTTTTCCTTTACAGATCAAACATATGATGGCATTCATTGAGCAGGAGGCCAATGAAAAAGCCGAGGAGATCGATGCCAAAGCCGAAGAAGAGTTCAATATTGAGAAGGGACGTCTCGTCCAACAACAGCGTCTCAAGATTATGGAGTACTATGAGAAAAAGGAAAAGCAAGTTGAGCTGCAGAAGAAAATTCAATCCTCAAATATGCTCAATCAGGCTCGCCTGAAGGTCGGTTTTTTTATGCAAACTAGTTGTACTTTTCAAAAAAAAAAAAATTCGACTGGTTTTTCTTGACACTTACAGGTGCTTAAAGTGCGCGAGGATCATGTTGGCAGTGTGCTGGATGATGCACGCAAACGTCTCGGCGAAGTCACCCAGAACGAATCCGAATACAAGACCGTTCTAGACAAACTAATTGTTCAAGGCCTGTATCAGGTTATGGAACCTAAAGTAACCCTACGCTGCCGTCAAGTCGATGTGCCCCTCGTCAGGGCAGTACTCCCCTCAGCTATTGAGCAGTACAAAGCCGCAATGAAACAGGATGTTGAGTTTCATATAGATGAGAAAGAGTATCTGTCAGCCAATACCTGTGGTGGTGTTGAGCTGTTGGCTTTGAATGGACGCATCAAGGTGCGTTCCTAAAAAATTTAATGCTCCAGCAATTTTATTAATAACCCAATGTTCACTTTGCAGGTGCCAAATACCCTGGAGTCCAGATTAGAATTGATTTCACAGCAACTTGTGCCAGAAATCCGTAACGCCCTGTTCGGCCGCAATGTTAATCGCAAATTCACCGATTAAAATTTTCTTTAAGTGAAAAAAAAACAAAACAGTTCAAGCTTATAACAACAACAACAACAAGAAAAAAACAACCACTTAATAATGGAAGAAGAAAACTCATACTCTTGAACTCATTTAACAAAATTGTGTCTATTAATTATTATTATTATTATTGCCGTTGTCTTTTTATAGTCAAACTGAGAAAAACAAAAAACGTTGGTCAAATATGTAGGCAACAATTATGTGTTAAAAGTACTTACATATTTGCCAATTATGATATATTCGAGTATATTTCAACAGATAAACAAAGTTCTAAGTGCATTCAAATCCGTAAAAGAGTTTGTTAAAGTTTGTTTTCTATGAACTAACCGGCGTTAACAATATAAGCTAATTATAATAACATTCCTCAATACTTTGCGATCCGTTTTTTGTTCTGGCGATTCAACTACGCCTATATAATTTTTGTAAAATTCTTTTTGTTTTGCCCTTGTCTGTAAATTTTGTTGTACATTTTTATTTAATTACTGTTTGTTCATTATTGTTATCCCATTTTCTTTAGCCATGTTATTCAATTGCAATGTGCGTCACAGCGGCAACAATTTTCAATTATCATTGAATATTATTATAATTGATAATTATCAATGTATGTGCCACTTGCAGGCCGCACGCGTGCACACTCAGCATTATTGTCCGCTTGCCACCGAAATACATTCAGACGCATTTCGCTGGCTCGAGGACAATGTGCGCCGGCGTCCTTGCAACTGGCACATTTTATAGGCCATAAATAATCATCGAATGTCTGTTGTTGAACAAGTTAAATACGAATACACAGTTACCCTAACGCACGCGCAGTTAACGAAGTATTGCCAAGTGGCCAAGTAGCTAAATTTGTTAAAACATATAAAAGCCCCCATATTTTACCTGCTTCCAATTCCAAATCATATAATACATATAATATATATATACTTAAAAGTAAAATTGAAAAAAAAAAAATGGAAATTATAAGTCGCAATTTATATGGCTGCCGCTGCTGCCGCACAATTGCTTTATAGACGCACGTTCATATCTGTCTCTAAACAAGTACACACAGAATAATTGTATTTTAATGTTTGCGTGTTCACGAAAAATAACTACAAATTTAGCATACAATAAAATCAATAGCATATGCATTATTATATAACATCGATTAAAATGAAATACAAATGCAACAAACTTACTTTTAAACTTAAACAAAATTTATGTTGAATAAAAACAGTATTTCCAAAAACAAAAAACAATCAACAAATTTCGCACTTTCTATAATTCGACTGCATTTAAAAAGCCGCTAACACATGTAGGCCGTAGAAATCCTTAAAACAAAAACCAATTGGAGTCTTACCCGCGAAGTAAAAATTATCCGAACCTAAGATTGGATGGGTTACGGCTCTTTTATGTGTATATAGGGCTTTGTATATAACAAAATAAACAAACAGCCATCCTTGGGGTATAATCTTATCCAAAGTAGATAACAATATTAGAGAGTTAAGAACTTGCCGTAGTTTAGAATAAACTCAATCTCCAATCGGTTATTTCACTGAAAACATGATATAGTAGTCAGATTTGACTTAAAATGGTTAGTTGTCAAATAAAAATTTCGAGCCGTGTATAAGTATAGTGCAATTTTTAACCTTGGTCATGAAAGTTTTTATAATATGGTACAGTGAAATAAGGGTTTTTCCAAAATTTGAGACAAATTTGCATTTCAAGATTATTTAAAACGTCCAAGAATGTAAAATTTGTTAAAACTGCTCTGGGAGGAGTTTCTACTCGTCGCAATAATTTGTTCAGTTATTCGATCAATCCCATATTAAGTTTATTGGAACGCTTCTGTTTTTTCAGCCATGAGTGAAATAAAATACGATTTATTGTTTTAAATTTGTTTACTTTAATTGTATATATTAATATATGTATATTTTTTTCATCCATGCAATCGCCTTTTCAATTAATTTTGCCCCATTTTCATTTGAGATGTGGTTTCCCAAGACATGTTTGTATGTTTTTCATCTGTTTTAAGATGGCCGATTAAGCTTGTCTTTGTTAATCATTCAAATATACATAAATTGTGTGTCGATGTCTAACTGCATAATTTGCATTTACTATTTTTCCTAAAAGTCGTGACCAGTTATTACTTAAAATCATTTGCTGACTTTTAAATAAGAGAATTATATTGAATGTGTTTGTTTTTGTTTTCAGATGCAACTTAATTATAACAAGATTTTTCCGGGCTTTTTTTTTTGTTTGCATACATATTTATAAACAATTTTTCAAGTTTTGTGTTTGTATCTTTTTCATTTTTTGTTTGTTTTGAAATTCACTGAAGTATTGCTCATAATGAATAAATTTAACAATTTTAAGTGCACATTTTGAAATGTAGAAAGTAGTTTAGAAAAACTATTAAATTGTGTACAGTAAATTTCGAATTTTGCGGCTTGGCTCTCTCCTCTCTCTTTACGTTGCAAAGTCCATGGGTCTTGTTAACATCTAGGAAATTTCCAAAGGGGAGTGTAGTTCGGTTGGCTGTTGGTAATGCGAAATATATATATATATACATATGCATATATATGATGATGATGGCGACTCCGTATAGTTGCAGTTGCTTTAATGCCGAGATAATGGACTGCGCCTAATATATTTGTTAGTCGCCTAACTTTTGCTCATCCTCCGATTCAGATTCTAAAAGTAAAAAGTAGGCAATATATATATGTATATTAGTTTACTATTCCCAAATGAATAACAAGTTCAATTTGTCCGAACGATTATTGGCCAAATGTAACTATGTTTAGTTATATGGACACCCAATCATTCTTTTGCTCTTGCATATTTTACATGAGCTTTTTAAGATTTTGTGAAACTTAAAAAGTTGATAAGAAAACATGCAGCATTATTTCATCGGATGTCCAGGTTTTCATTGGCCTGCGTTGTTCTATAGTTTTTAAACAACGAGGCAAGCAAAAAACCCAAATGCTCTTGCAAATTTGTACACTGAAATTGCCAAAGAAAAAGGCAATTCCATTCTCAAAAATTGCCAGCCTTATAACTGGAAAAGAACCAAGTTTGAATGCTTGTCCGAACGATTATTGGCCAAATGTAACTATGTTTAGTTATATGGACACCCAATCATTCTTTTGCTCTTGCATATTTTACATGAGCTTTTTAAGACTTTGTACGACTTAAAAAGTTGATTAGAAAACATGCAGCATTATTTCATCGGATGTCCAGGTTTTCATTGGCCTGCGTTGTTCTATAGTTTTTAAACAACGAGGCAAGCAAAAAACCCAAATGCTCTTGCAAATTTGTACACTGAAATTGCCAAAGAAAAAGGCAATTCCATTCTCAAAAATTGCCAGCCTTATAATTAATGGTCTTCACAATAACATCGTTTCTTATATACTAACCTTCCTCGGCAGATTGGAGCCATTCGGCGAATTTGCGCATTTGTTCAAGGAAATGCATTTTGCCCTTGTTAGAGTGTCCGTCCTTGTACCAGCGCAAGATGATCTCCTCGGACAATACCTCGGTCTTGTAGAACAACAAGATGATCTTTTGGAACGCTTTCATGAAATTCATATTTTCGTAACAGAACTCCTGCACTTTTAATATCAATGCCAATTCTGAACGATCTGTTGAGGCAAACGCCTGCAAGAGGGTGCAGTATGTCTTTAGATGACGCACCGCTTGATCGGTGACAAGCTCCTCCTTTTTGTTCCATTCTCCCAACGACATGATTGTGGACCAAATCTAATAAATCAAGTTTAAATGGAATATAAGAAAAACAGTTAAGCATGCATAGAAACCCAACCACTTACAATAACAATTATCTCATGATCAGGAATGTTGGTACGTAGTGCAAACTCTTTGATGTCTGCAGTTATTTCATTATGTGCCTTCTCATCGTTAATATCATCGATGAGGGTCTGCTGCAGTTCACGTTTGGCCTCTTGGCTGGCCTGAGCCTTATGCAATTTGATGATCTCATTGAGTTCTTTGTCAAGAAAAACTTGTTTAAAATATTCCTCAGTACGTTTGTTTAGTGGGAAAAAGTCCATAAGTCTGCAACAAAAATTACATTCGTTATAGTTCTACATGTTGCACGTAAAATTCGTTACGGTGTGCAAATGTACGAAATGAAATGGGCACCCAAATAAAGCTAGTTTATTTGCGACATGCATTAAATTCCGTGTAAGTGATTACTCTAGGAATGTTAATTAAAGATTAACAAGATATGCATGTAGATCTTCCTGAAAACATTCCAAAAATTTACAAAAATGTGTTGCAACTTACTTGCTTTCCAGTCCACCCTTTTTAAGCGCCTGAATAAGATATGCAATGCCCTTCTCTTGCTTGAACGTCAAAAACAGCTCCAATAAAAACTCGAGTGCAATGCCATCCTTAATCAGATGCTCATTGTTTAGTACCAGCAATACATTTGGCGGCACAGAGCCATTAACTGCAAATTACAATGAAAACCCCCTTTTAGAACGGTATTCAAAAACCCAGCAAAGTTTTTGAGACATGGCCAAAAATGTGCTTGGGCTCGTGGCTTTTGCATTAGGCTTATATTTTTACATGCAAGAGTCAGTATACCAAGACTATAAATTTAATATTAGCCAACTGTAGTACGAGTGTATGATCGTTTGCTCACAACTCATATAATATAACAGATGACTTCAATATATTTATTGATATGTAATTAAATTAATTAAATATGCTTACCTAACCAGAGCGCAGTCATGCGCGCAAGCTTAATGCGTTCACTTGGCGTAAAGCCCTTTACGAATAACAAAACTTTACCCATTTCCTCTTCGAACATTTTCTCAAGGTACTTGTACCGTCTAATGAGTTTAACAAACACCTGTAAACATTTAATTTTTACATTAGTTATGAGGCATAATTAAATTTGGGCATATTCGATAATGTAATTAAAAATTTATATTGTCGCAACATTAGAAATCTTTAAGAATCGAGTTTTGCGAAAAATTAAAGACAAGTAAAATGTGGCGTTTCATTTTGCATAATTTTGACACCGATTATAATACAAGTAATTAATAACCAGTTCTAATAATATGCGGCTAAGGTTTACAATAATACACAGATGTGTATAAACATGACTCGACTGGTTTGTCGCAACATTAGAAATCTTTAGATTGTTGTAATTATTTCTATACAAAATAAAGACAAGTAAAATGAGGCGTTTCATTTGGCATATAATGACACCGATTATCTGCATCGACCAATAACCGGTTCTAATAATATGCACGCAGCATTGTGTCAACGATTTACTAACCTGCTCATGGTTGCGCATTGACTCCATATCCTCGGGTGCATCGAAAATGCAAAAACTTGTGCGTGGCTTTTCGCCATCCTGAGATATAGAACCGCCAGGCACTAAGATGTTATTTCATTTAAATATTAGCTGAGGCGGTATTTTAAATAGATATTTCCACTCACCTAATAGACCACCCGCAATCAATATATCAAACAGCACTTCACCGTAACGACGATAATCGAGCTTGTTGCCCGCGCTGTCTAGAAACTTAGAGATTTGTTCCAGGTCGCCTTCAGTTTTTTCGAGACCAGCAATGACCGCATCACGGAATCCCGTTGGGTCATATTTTTCTCTTTCATCTAATCCGAAACAACGGTAATATGTTCAGAAATATTTGAACACTATTAATTTTAGCTAAAGGCTTACCTCTTTTTCTGGTCTTGATGCGTTGACCCGATAGCACTGGTCTTTCAGTTTTTTGACTCATACAATAAATTGCTGCAGAAATGAAGTAGAGACAATCAATTTTTTTTTTTTAGTAAATTTGTATTTTCTTTTTTACAGTAAATATATATATATGACGTGATATACAAGGTTACTAGGTTCTGTATGTGTGAAAACGCTAACACGTTGAATCAAATCGTGTGCCAATGCTATCTAACCTAAAAAAAATTACTTGATCGTGTGTGCCTCACATACGCAAACACACATACATATATACATGCGTATAATCTCTTACAGTTTGATAATGCTGAACGGCCAATGAAAGGCGAACTGTGAGAGCTCGCCTAAAGAAGAAGCGAGCAAAGAAACATCAGAATAAAGTGAAATTTTTGAAAATATGTACATAAGCACGTTGACTTTGTTACTGGGAGCGCGCTTGCAAACGAGGTCAATGTATACTTAATACGTATGTATGTATATACACAAAGGCTTTGTTGTCGAACTTAATTTTTAGCCAGTTTTAATTGCAAGAAATTAAACTTACACTTTCACTTAACGGATTTAAATTTGCCAATGATTTTGCTTCAGCGTTCGTTCCTTATTGTATCGTACTTAAATGTGAACGCGCGAGCGTGTTTCTAGGAGGTTAGATGTGCATACACATAGGTGCATGCATGTGTGAGTTTAACAGGCCGTTAGTTTTGAAAATTCTCGCAAAGCCTCTAAGAATTTTTACCTTGGACTAGCTGGACAATAAGCTCAGTGAAATCAAAATGGACGTAATGAGTTTCCTTAGTGCTTTGTTTTTCCCAAATTTTCGTCTACTTTAATTTTAACTGCAAAATTGACACGCACGCACACACAGAGACACTCAAAAGTTGAGAGAGGAAGAGAGAAAAACCTGCAGAAATTTCTGCCGATTGTGTTTTCTGTTTAAATATTAACTTTAACAATTTTGTTGCTTTTAAATTCAGTGTATGTCAAAAATTCTATTTTTATTAAATATCACAATCGGCTACTATATACATACATGCGTATTCTTTGCTGTTAATGTGTTTTTGACGTTCGAGCGCCTCTTCTGCGCACACCACTTTGTTAAACGAAATTCAGAAAGCAAATGACACACACATTTCGTTGAATGCCGACGATAACGACACGACGACATGTGGTCGGCGCCATTTTGTAGCAATACATTGGCATTCAAACAGCTCACACACATGTACATATATACATGTCTGTCCATGTATTTCGTCTGTGTGCACATCAATTTCGAGGTTCTATTTGTCTGGGCTTTGCCAATGCAATAATGAACCAGCTCTTTTGCGAATGCCGTTGAAAATTCAACGACTCATTCACAATGAATGCTTTCTCTTCCGCCATTAGAAAATTGTGAACGCGTATTTCGTGGCACTTATTTAATTATGAGTGTACAGTCGTTATACAGTATGTTGTGTATAGTATGTTATAAAAGCAATTGATTATTTGCAACGATTATGAATCACTGTAGCTTCAATATGGGGTTCCGTTTTTACAAATAAGCCCACATACACATAATGCATGTACATCATAACCTTTCTTAAAAATTATATGTACAGACAATACGCAAGTATGTATGCATGCACTAATACACACAAGCATACATAAATGACTAAGACTTGAGGCCTTATTGCGCGCAATCTTTCATAGAATTGCGCAATTGATCAGAAATCACACATAACTAACATGCGTAGTAATATACTAAATTATACTTTGAAATATTTTCACTAAATTGTATTATGTACTTACGATTAAAACAAAAAAAGCTGTTTTGCTGAAGAAATTGAGCTGTTAGTCCGTGTACGAGCGTGCGAAAAACACTAATGCAGTGCTGCGATAGCGGCAATATCAACGATGGTTATATTTTATCGATATCATCAGTGTTCGATACTATCGCTAAAATCAAAGACGCCGATACACAGCTGATATATTATTTGCTGCTATCACAATATAGTGATAAATATGGATTCGAATTTTAAGAATTTTAAATATATGCAGTTGCACCAAGTACTATTTAAATTACGACCCCTTGAACAGTACTATGATTATAACGGGCATAAAAATACGTTCAAGACACAGGAAGATGTGCAAAAGGTGCAGTAGATTTGATTTGTATGTAAATATTGTTTTTAGCTCTATTCCTCCAATTCAGATTTGTGGAGACTTTTTAAAGGCACTTAAAAAAGATTTGAGCCTTGAGGAAATAACATCGTTATATTCCGCTGCCATTATGTTGCTTATACTAGGGGATCCTGAAATACAAAACCAGCGCCTCGAACTCTTGAACGATTGTTTCAATTATTCAGACATGTTAAAGCCAACAATGATTGACTATGCTACTCGTGAATTAATTGATAACTTAAAATTCGCTGCAAGCCTTGCTGAGAACCATACTGAGTATGATTATATGCTTTATTTATTATGGGCAATACCGCATATAATCACAGCAAGTGAAACGGGAAAAATGATATCACTGGGCCTTTTGCGCGCTTTTATAGCCGAGTTGGCGAATTCGGGACCAGTTGTCATGCATATATATCGAAATGTAAGTCAAGCAAAAAGCGAATATTCGTGTTTACTTTTGTTTGAAAGATTTCAGAAGTCTGGCAAATGATTAAAACCCTAAAGGCGGAGACAATATTAGACGAATGGTCACTCAAAAAAATATACACATTGGTGAAGAGCTTTGCATTAATATTGGCAACAGCTGCGCTTAACAGTAACAACGCGGCATTGAAGCAAGCCGGATACCGGGGCTTTGAGTTGCCCCAAGCAGAGACTGGGACTGAAATTTCGGATTGGTTCAAGATCCTCAGAAACAAGCTGGAAGAGAAGCACAAGACAGACAAATGCAAAGCAGGCTTGATGGTATAAGGCCTTGCCTAAATTTCAATAATAATACTTTAAGCTAAATATCCATTTTCGCAGTTGGTACGCTTCATTGACTTTAACATACTGAACCTTTTACCGGAAGCTGGAAATGAAATAGCTTCAGAGCCTGGAAACGAAGTGGTGCATGACAAAAGAATAAGTTTTTAGGTTGTACAATATACATATATTTATCATGTTACATATAACACACACATTTATGCTTTAAGCCAAAATTACTTATACTTTTTTCCGCTTTTCCGCAAAGGCACATCGACGGGCACCACTACACTGTTGTAATAGTTAGAAGAGATTCGATTAAGAAAATACAATCCCACCAGGGAGAATAGAATACTAAAAGAAAAACAATAGTTTATTTCGATTTCTGCGTAGGCGTCGGCATTCACTTACCTGGTTGTTGCACAGACGCGATGAACAACGCCCGCAGCAGCCGCTGTTAACGATAAACACAATAAAATCTCTGGCACAAGTTTGGCCTGAAAATCAGGCCCGAATATTAGCATTTCAGCATTTGATAAACATGTGAGGCTTAATATAAACAACCAAGAAAACAGATAGCCGCCAAACAAAATGTTTAGTTGGGAATCATTAAACCATTGGGCATAGAAACGCAGCGTTGCAAAAATAACCAAGCTCAGTATGCCAGAGATAATTGTAGAGATCAGAGTGCTTTTGGTTGTGATTGAGGCGGCTGCAAATTATATTTATTATTACAATTACATCTACCGCATTATTTCGCGAAAATAAAAACTTACACATTTTTAAGCTAGAGATTCAATCGCTATCTGCACTACAAGCGAAAAGCTATCGATAGCTGCATATATATATGGTGAAAGTTTACAAATATCGATATCTATCGAAGATAAGTCAGAGAGGGACCATTGTAAATAGCAGAAATTGCGTTTAACAATTAAATTATTAATGAAAACATGGCAACTTTGTTAAAAGCAGCCACCAGCACGTTTCGAGGAACGTTCTGGCAGTCACGTAGAATTGCAACAAGCACACCATTGTTTATAAAAGAAAGTAAGTACAATGCCTGGCACACAACGGGATGTTTCATAACCTTGCTGAGTTTGTATTGAAAACAAATATTGTCGTATTTTAAGTACATGAGAAACTGGAAAACAATGCACTGGTCTTTGAGGGCGTAAATGTGGTATCACAACGTTCAGAAAATATGCTGAAACCGGCCTGTTCCAGCACCTTTTGCCCAGAGTGCACGTTGGGTTTGGACATTAAGCACACGGACGTGCTAATTTTATCGCAATACGTCCGTTCTGATGGCTGCATGTTGCCTAGACGTATAACAGGATTGTGTCATCGGCAGCAAAAGAAGATGGGCACACTCGTTACCATGGCTCAAAAGGCTGGCCTAATGCCGAACCTTGCGCCGTCTTGGAGCAAAAAGGACCCAAAGAAAAGATTTGGATGGCGCAAGTTTAACAAGTATTTTTTGGAGTCGACGATTAAATACTAAAGCTAGTTATAACACAATAATAAATGTAAATGTTTTCCATTTTATATGTTGAAGTTTATGAACCGGCGTTTTAGCATAGGTATCGATTATTATCGTCTGCCAAATATTTTGCCAACAAAAGTGTTCGGTCACATTGTCATTGGCATTCTTTAAAATTTTCATTTAATTCGGCGCGTTTCTAAACACAAATGAATTTTTTAAGCAATAACAATACGGTGCACGTGGAAGTGCGTGTGCTGCGCAGCGAGCAGTGAGTAAACAGTTTTGCAATAATATAAGGTTGGCTGAAATGATTTTTGCTCACAGGCGGATGCAGACGCTTCGAGCGGCAATCGAGCCACAACTTGACGCATATTTAAAATCATTAAAAACGTTGCGCTGGAATGTTGCATTCGCTCCGGACACCAAACTTCAATCTGTTGAGAGTATTCTGCTGGAGAAAGACAACGGCGAAAATGGAACCGTAAAGCCGGATCATAATAGATTGAAATTTTGCTATCATTTCTACACGACGCATCGTCCCGAGGTGCGATCAGCTGGTGGGCTATTTGACGGTGAAGGCGATGGCAATTCCGATAGCCTGGACAGTGTGATAGCTGCTAATCATGTCCTGCTACCTGCCACTGAGTTTGTTGGCCTCTGGGATAATTTGATTTACGAGGAAGGACTGAAGGAAAAGGTATGTTTTACCAAATGTATATATAGTATATGCATGTAGTTATTATGCATTTTGCAGCTGCTTAAATTCGCATTGTCAGCTTTGAGTTTCTCGCAACATAGTGTGGACACTAATGTAATTGCTTGCAACCGCTTGTTGCTACTGCATGGTCCACCTGGCACTGGCAAGACTAGTCTGTGCAAGGCGCTCGCTCAGAAGCTGGCCATAAGGACACAAAGCAGTTTCGCCTACACCCATCTCGTGGAGATCAACAGCCACAGTCTGTTTTCAAAGTGGTTCTCGGAGAGTGGCAAATTGGTCGCGCGTCTCTTTGGCAAAATCGGTGAGCTTGTGGCGGACAAAAACAATTTGGTCTGCGTGCTTATTGACGAGGTGGAATCCCTGGCGTATCAACGAAGTGCTATGAGCAGCAATGAGCCGCGAGATGCCATGCGAGTGGTTAATGCGGTGCTTACCCAGCTGGATGATATAAAGGCCTGTCCAAATGTGCTCATTTTGGCAACTTCGAACTTGGCGCAATGCATTGATTTGGCCTTTTTGGATCGCGCAGATATACGTCAGTTTATTGGCTTGCCGGCTATAGCAGCCATAGGCTCCATTTACAAGTCAATGCTGGCCGAATTGATGGCGAGGGGCATTGTGAGAACAGAGGACTTGGAAGGCAATCAAGAGGACTCTGAGGATCTGCTGACTAATCTGGCCGAACGTAGTGTTGGTCTAAGTGGGCGCACGCTGCGCAAGTTGCCGCTGCTGGCTCACGCTCATCACACGAGCCGAGATCTCTTTGAGCTTAACCAAAAGATAACCCTATCGGATTTCCTGGACGCAATGCTACTAGCCTTGGAGCAGTTACTAGCTGAACAACGACACTTAAAGATAGATACAAATGTGAATGAAATGGCATGACGAGAAATTGGTTAAGCAATTGACTCCCTATAAGTCCCGTATCCATTAAATGTGATGCTTTTACTAAAAACAATGCTGTACGATGACTCGATGTGTTCATCCTCAGGATATACTTTTGCAAACCCTTTTCATTTGCACACCATACAGATTTTTAATTTTTCCCAGTTTTACATACACACTTCTTTCTGTTTCCCTTGAATATGTGAAATGCATGCGAAAATTCTTTCTCACTATGCATATCCCCATAACTCATCATTACTCCAAGGGTTAATAAAATTACCTGTCAAAAATGACTGTCGGCATTTTGTTTTCTTAATGTATTATTTATTTAGGTGGATGTCATATTGATTTAAATGGATGCGCCAATCGGATTGTGTTTGTCTAGCTGGACTAATCCTACAATGCTGGCGTTGTATGTTACTCAAATTTCTGCGGCTGTTTGCAGTCCTTGGCTGGATTGACTCGATTCCACAGCGTGAAGGAGAACTTATCAATGCGACTGTTCAGCTGAAGACTGAACTGCGACTTGCGGTACATCAGCATATTGGTTTCAAACTGACGTCGTTCCGCTGCATGTCGCTCAACATCGTTCCGGAGCTGCGCACAGTCTACCCTGGACTCGAATGGCGAAGGTGAATCCCACATTTGGTCTGCTTTCGATTTGGTGTGTGGTGTCACAAGTGCGATACTTTTGGAAACGCTGCTAGAATGCGCGGACGTCTCGCTGGATGAAGCTTTATTTAACTGTTTGTGGTATTTGCAGATGAGATCATTATAGATGCGCAACTTTTCTGGTTTGGCAAACATTTCCTCCAGGTGGCTGTAATTAACCATATCTGGTTCTTCGTCACAAAAGTAGGCCGACGGTGTTATAGCGCCGCCGCTTAATCGAATTGGCGACGACTCGGACAATTTCACATTTTTGTCCGTTGCTTCCGATTCCTCGCATTTCACATTTTTGTTGGGTTGTTGAGGTTCCTCGCATAAAGTGATCTCCAGCAAATCACGTGTCAGCTGGTCCACGCGCTTGTTGAGCTGCAGCAACTGCTCCTCCACGTGGCGTATCATCGTACCAAACTGTTTGCTGTTTTCCTCCAGCGTCGCCAAACTCTGGCCAACAACGTTGCGGGCCATGAGCTTCCCAACAATCTCCTTGAGATCGTCGAGCTTTACGTATTCGGTTTCTGAGCTTGGTTTTGCGGGCGCACTTAGTAACATTAACTCTTGGGCCATTTCGCGCATAAAGTTGGGTGCCGTCAAGAGGGCGGCCACCTCACGCCGGATATTCTCACTGAGGGACAGCTTCAGCTGTGGCGCCACCTCTGGAGGTAGCTTAGCTGCGTCTTCATTATATATATCCAATGCCTCGTCGCTGTCTAATCTGCTAATTGATTCTTGTACGTTCATTTTGTAAACAGTTTTAATACAACACTTAATTTGGTAAATTTTAATGTTTTCTTATAAGTTGTATAATATCTATATATAGATATAAAACATATAACATTTTCAAAGCCTTCTACATAATATGTCGATCAAGTGCACAGAGCAGAAAAACAATTCGATTTCTTTGAGCTAAGAGTTGTGCACTTGGAAATTACTTATAAAATAATTTCCGACCATTATAGCTTTTGTTTATATTAAAAAAAAAAAACAAGCAATTTCCTTGCAACTATCTGTCCTAATTGGCGATAAACGAACAGCCCAAGCTGTAAGATGAAGCTTACATTTTTACTGCAGTCATTTTATGGGAGACGGGATTTTGGGAAAATCCAACCAAAATCGCAAACAGAGAATGTAAAAAACTTTTTTGCTTACCATTCGATCTACATTCGAGAGGAGTTTCACACTTTTCTGAAAATGTATGCCTCCTTGGTGGAAATGGAGGTGCAGTAATTGGTGGATCAAATTCAATTTCAAGGATCCTTATGAAAATTTATTTATAACATATTTCACACTTTTCGCAAATCCTAAGCCTGATCTGTGGAAAATGGGGAATAGATACATAGGTCAAAGTTTTAAGTTTTGTTCGATTAGCTTCAAACTTATTTTTAAAACTATTTTAAGAGTTAAATGCATACGTATTTAATCATTTTTAGAAATTTCACCCGCAATTGTGCAAATCAACTAGT